TTGCACTATTTAAGGATGGAGGTGAGGTCCTCTGCAAAGCACTGACCTCCCTATTCGAACGTATCTGGAACGAAGAGAGTACGCCGGCTAATTGTAATGACTTGATTATAGTGGCAATATACAAGAAGGGCAGTCGCACAGACTGTGCGAACCACAGAGGTATTAGCCTAACGCCAGTTGTGACAAAATTACTGGCCTCGATTCTCGTTCGTCGCCTCACTGCAGAACGGGAATCTCGGATTAGGGGAGAGCAGGCTGGTTTTCGCCCAGGACGTGGCTGTATAGACCATATATTTACTTTGCGGCAGGTGCTAGAGCAGCGCCACGCATACCGCAGACCGACAATAGCTGTGTTCCTCGATTTCAAGAGTGCATTTGATTCAGTCGATCGATCGATTCTGTTCGAATTACTTGAGCGAAAAGGTGTTCCCACGAAATATGTGAACATCCTTCGTGCTCTATACTCGAACACTACAGGCCGCGTCAGGGTCTATGGTGCCCTATCCGATAGCTTTTCGACCACAAGTGGCGTTCGTCAGGGTTGTCCGATTTCCCCATTTTTGTTCAAATTCGTCGTGGATTCTATCATGGAGTGTTCCCTTGCGGAATCTCACGATGTAGGTGTTGAAGTGCTGCCTGGTGAACGGTTAGTTGATCTAGATTATGCGGACGATATCATCTTGCTTATCGACAATGTTGAGGCGGCACAGTCAACCCTGAATAGCCTATCCAGAGTGGTCCCATTATTTGGTATGCACTTCGCACCTTCAAAGTGCAAAGTGTTGCTGCAGGACCACCAGCCACTTGATGACCCCTTGACGCTTGCTAACGAGGAACTCGAGGTGGTTGATCAATTCACTTATCTTGGCAGCTGCATCAGCAATGATGGGCGCATAGAAACTGACGTGAGCTCACGCATTGCAAAGGCCAGAGCTGCCTTCTTGAACCTGCGTCATCTTTGGCGACAGAAGGGAGTTTCCCTCCGTTTGAAAGGCCGTGTATACAAGGCCACAGTGAGAGCCGTTCTGCTCTGTGGTAGTGAAACTTGGCCCCTTCGGTCTGAAGACCTGAGACGCCTTCAAATCTTTGATCATCGTTGCTTGCGAAGCATTACTGGTGTCGGATGGCACCAGCGTGTCCGCAACGATGATGTGCGTAGGCGAGTACTAGGTGGTGATAAACATGCTATCTCCCTAGAACAACAGATAGCACTGAATAAGTTGCGTTGGCTCGGGCACGTGATACGTATGCCTGGTCACCGCTTACCTAGGAGGGCCTTGTTCAGTCAACCAGGTGTAGGATTGCGCAAGGCTCGAGGTGGACAGAAGTTGAGTTGGCAGCGAGAAATGAAGTCACTGACGACCAAACTGGGTGCCGTTGGTCCGTCTCGCCTTCCAGGCTGGAGTCCACGTGACTCGCCATGTGCTTGGCTCGAGACTTTACAGGACGTGGCTTGCAATCGACACCAGTGGCACGTCTGCTGCCGTCTCCTAATTGGATTGCCTGTTTAAAGTGTGTTTGGTGCTGAGTTATCTGCGGGGTAATGGCTGATTATGACGCGTGGCATTTAATGCCGCAAGGAAGCTGTCCCGCCGATGCCGCCTTATCTTTGCACGATAGCCAGCTGTTTGCTTCGGTATGTTGTTAACACAACGTGTATGCGCATTGCCCCTGAATGTTTGCTTAGGGCATTAAGGTTTTCAGGTAAGTCCCCCATTCTCTCCCTCTTCTTATTCTTTATTTCATAGGTCCTCATGGTTGTATGACAGCGAAGTATCAGTTCAAATGGCTGATGTACTGCTGTTGATGATGATGATTGCTAACAGGAGAAATTTACACTTTAATTGCGTGGATTCACTGGTCGTCCGTTAGTTGATGATGTATACGCGGTCTGTAAACCTGACACCAGTGAACATCGAAAACAATTCGTGTGTTATCGTTGCGAATGCCGGTACAAAGAAAGTATCTGTCGAAAATTTGACAAGGTAGGCCCTCTAGTTCGCGAATGTAGAGCGGAAAGTTCCCGCAAGACGAACGCCGCCTCAACGAGTCGTCAAAGGAACATGGAACTACGTGAATTTAGGGTCCTAGAAAATTTGAACAATAAACATAACTCAGTGTACTTGAACAGTGTGACACTCAGAAGGTGTTCTCCTTGCAAAATACCTTTGACGAAAGCCATGGAGCGAAGTACTAGGGCAGCAGTAACCATTGTAAACCAAAGTTCAATGAAAAAGCTACGGCATTTACAACCTTGAAAATCGAGTTTACGGAAGTACGCCGATGACCCGGTTCAAGTGCTGGGTAGATGTTCCGTTAAAGCCGGGCACCGAGAACGAGAATTCATCTTACCTTTAATCATTGTACCTGGAAACCAACCGAATCTCATGAGTCGAGACTGGATCCAGTTCTTTCACGAGACAATGCAACTCAACAAACGCAGACAGTAGTTTGAATGAACTATTGAACCGGTTCCCAACGTTGTTTGAAAACAAATTGAGGAAAAAACGTCATTTCGTGGCTTCGATCAAACTTCGAGAGGGTGCTGAGCGAAAATGTTACGAAGCTATATCATTACCCATGCAATGCGCCTTAAAACGGAGGCAGAGATTCAATCTCTGCAATCAGAAGCGGTCATACTTCCGGTGCAACACACATCTTGGGGCACTCCGTTTGTACCAGTAGTCAGTCCGCTTTTTCATTGACCACGAAACGAAAGTCAACCAGGCATCGAACGTGGGAAATTATCCCATACCACGTATTGAGGCCTTGTATGCGATGTTAGCCGGTGGCCAAAAATTTCCAAGCGCTCTGAGTCACGTGCATTCTCAGGTCAAATTCGAGGATGAGTCACGGAAACCGACCACAGTAATTACTAAGTTGGGACTTTTTCAGACGTCTCCTGATTGAAATAAATTCAGCCCTCAGTATTATCCAACGGGTGGAGGATGATATTGTTAAGGGTATACCGCTCATTTGCGCATACTTGGACAATATCCTTGTTACAGGCCGCAGTGATATTGATCATCTAACTACATTGCGAAGTGTTCTCGAGCGTATAAAAGAGAGTGGGTTGAAATTTAACGGAGACCCAAGCGGAGCTCAAGTTGGGAATCGTGTGAGAATTGATCGACCAGCAACTACCAACCCGAGTTAAAAGAATCGAACTATTCGGTCAATATGATAAATCCGTGGAGCGGAGCTCACTCACACTGGTTGAAAACTAGTCGCAGAATAGTGAGCGACGTTGACCTCCAAAATTAGCATGTTTCGGTTACCGATAAATAGAGTTAACCTATCTTGTAGCGATATATTTTCTGTCTACCGAGTTCTGGCCTTTTGTAATCCTTCGGTTAGGTGGACGCGTGACTGAGCAGTCAGAGAGTCTCAGTCTCACAGGGCAACAAAGTAGCAGTACAACAGTTATTAGTGGCAGAGAACAGATGGAAAGAAGAAGCGTTACAACAACTAAAAAATTTCAAATGTGAGTTATCCATTTTAGTTTGGTACCTCGGTTACAAACTGGACAAAACGTGTTTGCATGTCTTTCGAGTTAAAATACCGCATGTAGTGTAGTCACCTAAGCTCAAGAATAGTTATGAATTATTAGCATTCCTAAGGTGCAGTCGCACTATCATCGCTTCCTACCGGATGCCCTAACTATTCTAGCTCCATTGAACGAATTGCTTCACTAAAGCACCGCATGGGTGTGAAAGACTGGACATCAATGTGCTTTCGTTGTGCAAATGATAGTCTTGCCTTCGCACCTGTTTTCGTCCTTTACGATAGTGCAAAACCGTTAATCTTACAATGTGATGCCTCTCCATACAGAATCGGTACAATTCTGTGTCACAAATGCCGGATAGTATCATTACCCTTATTGCTTTTGTCGCAAGAACTTTATAACCCGCCGAAAAGAATTACTTCCAGTTGGATAAAGAAACACTCACAGTTATATTTGGTGCCAAAAGACTTCATCTTTACATTTGGGGCGGCTGTTCCGAAATAAAAACAGATTACGAACCACTAATATTCTTACTAAGCGAGTTAAGTTGAATCGAGCAGATGTTTTCCCCGAGAATACAACACTGGGGATGATAGTAAGCGCGAACAAATATTTCTTTATTTACCAAATGTACTCCATTTCTAGTTTAAACTAACTTGCGACGGACACGGCCTCCGACGAAATAGTGGAGGAATCGGTGGAGCTAATGCATCTACTACAACACATCGACGTCACTTCGATGAAGTGTGACACCATACTTCAATGGGTTGATCATGACCCGACCCTGTCTTATGTAGTACGTTTGGCAAAATCCTCCTACAGTCCCTGTCGATTTGAAACATTATGGTCAACGGAATAATGAGTTGAGCATGCATGATGAGTGTTTTTCTGAGGCACCCACCCGATTCCATCTCAAAAGGCTCACCCCTTCATCCTAAACGAACTCTACGATGCACACCCAGGCGTAACCCCAATGAAAGCCTTGGCGCAGTTATTGCTGGTGGCCTGGCCAATATTCTGAAATAGAGAATTATCTAAAACAGCCATTCTCAACGGGAATCATATTTTCCCTCCCTTGGGCCACAGAGTATTTCCCGGGTGCCCTGCGATAAGAAAATTTTCTAGTGAAGCCATAGGGAGTCATGCTCCGAGAAGTGGGTTGTGCTAACACAAATAGCAAAATTCATATAAAAAACATTTCTGTCCGTTTTTCTGTGCGCACTCACCTCTGGTCATTACCGGTCATCGCGATTAATTACGCGTGCACAGACGGATGTTAATAAAGATATGAAAAGTTGACCGGGTAGACTTTCTCTTGCTTCAAAGGGACTTCAAAGGGATTTGTTCCATTTCACTGTAGCCGATATTTCAGTGATCAAGTACTGTAGCTGTAGTATTCGACTCAGTGCCAAGTACTCCTTTAACTCGGCCCAAGAATCTGCGTCCGAATTCCACTCAACCTGACCGTCGCCGTAGGCTGCATCCGTGTTGGAATTCAGGGAGTTCTGTTTGTTGCCGCATCGGGTCCATGTGTGTTCAGTTTGAAGTTGGACAAAGCATCCTGAAACAGCACCCGGAGACCACGCAGGGAGGTAAGTTCGGCCCAAGTTCGTTCCCACTCACAGTGCAACACCTCTTCGTCTGCGCCGATTGCAAAACCGGATCGCCGATGCACTTCCTGGCGCCGAAGCACTTTTAAAACTCGATGGCTAATTTTAACTTGCTTCCGTTTGAGTTGGTTCACTTTTTGAGTGAAATTCAACTGCCCTTTTTTCAATTCTTGCACCTTTTTGCCGATTTGTTTGATAACATTACTCGGCTGTTGGTTGAGGGAAAGTTGGTCGAGTTTGGGGCGGCGGACATCAACGAATGCAGTCAAAGGGACTGGAACAGCGCTGTCCGGAAAAGGATTATCCATACACGCCCGCTGCCAAATCAGTCTTTCGATACCGGCTGGGAGGATTTCTTTGAAGGCGGATAACTGAGCGAAAGAAGGACACACTTCTGTTGAAACCTTGCCTGCACACAATTGCGATTGCGACTGTGACGCAACTGCAGGGGAGGATAGATATTTTCAAGCTCGCTCGCGCTTAGCTAGGTCACGCCACCTGTGACTTGTCGCTCGACCACTGATAAGATGACATCCGTTTGATTTTGTTGTTCCGGGCAGGGCCGAATTTCTTCGATGATCAATTTCAGATTCGGTCGCCCTCCTAACAGTCGAAACAAAACGTCCTGTAACCCTTGCATCTAGGACATAACTTCGGCGAATGGTCGCGCAAGGTAAAGACACATGAGTCCATCCGCGTCCGTACTTTTTGGTAGCAAGTTGTAAGCAACTGACTTGAACCGGGCAAAGGTGTTCTCGAGAGTGTATAAAACGATGCCACGAGAGCTGAACCCTGTTCCAGAGCCCCGCATTGATTGCAACTAATTCCATCTGGCTAAAATGGTGTCTCGCTCATCTCTGAACAGTAGCGGTTAGCACAGAGATGCAAAAAATGCATCCACACTGTTGTGCTGCAGACCTTGAGGCTGCGATGACTGACCAGTGGCTGCGGTGGTGCCTGGTTGTGCTGAGAATAAGGATCCAAACGTCGACTGGGAAGAATTATATAGCGACTCGAGACCAAGTCCAGGCTGAGCTCCAAACAAAGGCGGTTGTTGTGAGGTAATTGTAGGGGAGAATAGAGAAGGAAACGCTGTAGTTGATTTTGGGACACCAGCCCCAAATGATTGGAAAGGGCTGACACCGGCACTCAAACTTCCAAAGGGGTTGGTCAGGGCAGCAGTCTTCTGTGCAGTGGTTTGGAACAAACTAGAAGCTTGTGTATTCGGACCTGTGCCAAAACCGAAGCCCCCGAAAAGAGTGGGGTTAGTGGTAGTAGAAGCTGTCGTGCCAGTCGTTGTAGTCCCAAACCCCGTCGCAAAAGGGCCTGGTTGTGCGGTGCCAAATATCTTCTGAGTACCGAACAGGTTCATTGGCGTGCACTACTATACACGGCAGAGAACCGTATAGAGTCTTGACGGGCTGCATCTTTACGAGACTATTCTCGGCTTTCGTTCGGTCTCATCTGGAATACTGCGTCCAGGCTTGTCCGCCCTGCCTCGTCAGGAACAAAATGGAGCTAGAGAGGGTTTTACGAGTGAGTACTAGGTTAGTCAAGAGATTACGGGGACGGACGTACCCGGAGCGTCTAGTTAGTTTGGGAATGCGTTCAATGCACTACCGAAGGCTTAGAGGAGACCTTATCCTAACTTACCGTATCTTAACTGGGAAGGCTGGTCCAGATTTATCTGAGCTATTCAGTCCCGCTAGATTGTCTGTTCTACGCGGTCACTCCATGAAGCTGAACAAACCGCGGTCCGATCGGATTAGGGCGGAAATCCGGCTGTCACGCAGATTCGTCCAGCGCTGGAACATGCTTTCGGAAAGTGTTATCAGGGAATCTACGGTTAAAGGGTTTGAGCGGTGACTTGGTGCTCTTGGGTGGCAACACGAAGCCTTCCCCTTTTCCTAATTAACTCGCATCTTAGTACTTCGACTTTCTTTTCTCTACTTTTCTTCACGTATTGGTATTATTTTCTTATTTAAGTGCACTTCCCTATTCTGTACCTTCGATTTCTCTTCCTATCCTTTGCTTATTTCACGTGACTGCCACAGCAGGGATTGCTTGAGCAGGAAAGGTGGGCATTAACTGGTTGGCCAGGGTGCGATACGAGTGTTCCGTTTTAGATCCATCAATAACTGAGCACTTCATCAATTCCTGGCTCAACGATCCACTCAAGATGGTAGCACTCACGGGATTCTCCTATCGTTCCAGTCGCATCTGAACTTGAACTTATGGATTTGACATGGCACCACGAAACCTGCACACTTTTCCTTTGGCTCATCTCAAACATACAATCAGCATACGGCAACTTAAACTGTACGAACAACCACAGTTCTGCTCAGGACACTGATGCATCCACTGTGCAAGCCGCAGTGAACCCACTGAACCCTCTTTAGTACACTACGGCAATTGCCGCACTGCGTAATCCTCAGGACACATCCACGGGATGACAACTCATGGGCCTGTCAGTCTTTCTCGTTAGGAGATAACTTACGCGATTGTCGTCTCCATCTCAGCTAGCGTGTAAGTCTGACAGCTATGTCACGTTAGCCCGCAACGTTCCTAATTCGAGTGGCTATTCTGCGCACGCGAGTGATACGTACAGTAAGTAATTGTACGACAGCGTACACTCTGTAGGATTCAGAATCCTAGAATGGTAAACAAGTCTGGAAAGAACACTGTATAAGCAACAACTAACAAGATATCTCTACATACATTCACGGGCGACACGATGAGCTTGGTGTGTGTGTGTGTGTGTGTGTGTGTGTGTGTGTGTGTGTGTGTGTGTGTGTGTGTGTACGTGTACGAGTGGATTAGGTCAGCTTTGTAAAACCCGGGCTCCCCGATGGTCGCATATGCTATCGCGGTCTGGTTCGTATGCTTAGCCGTGACATATTTTTGGTCCAGCGCGGTGTTATGCCTGAGGTGCTCTCATTGGCGGAGTACGGTGCAGAATTACTACGACGCTCAAATTCAGTGTCCCATGCATCCTGACGAATAGATGGAGCGAATCAAATTTATGCCAACTTGCGTGAACTCAAAAGAATGCCAGTGGTGATCCAGACGGAACGGAGGTAATGTTCGCGATTGCCAATAAATCGTCGATCATTGCGCGCTTACTATTCGACATGTAAATTCTCGTGACATGGAAACGTTGGCTGTTATTTTTAAATATAAATCGATGTGTTACAATTTCGCCTTATTAAGGTCCATGAGGATAAGTGTTCTCCCATTGGCTTCGTGATGTATGATGCACATCTGTGAGCCCACATGATTCCAGTGCATTAGTGTGAACATTCCGCAATTGTTAAGGCTCAGACTGACTACAGTCTCAATAATCAGACGTATGAATACAGCTTACCATGCGCTCTAGGAGTTTTCTCTCCCGAGGCGCCAGTATCAACACAAGGACCGAAGCTCAAAACATGAGAACACCTTCGTTCGTCTAGTGTGACAATGCTTTGCAGTTTCACTCACTGTGGCTTCACAATATACGCTGACTTAGTGTCCGACCAGAGAACAACTCGTACTGCGAGTAACCTCCAATTGTCATCAGACGTCTATGAGAGTGTTGCTCATTTAGAATGTCAACAACACCTAGGCCGTCAAGTTTTAGCCCTCCTCTGTATAACCAGTTGAAAGGCCACAAACGAGTATGTGTGTGTGTGTGACAGATTCAAAGGAACACTAAATATCCTTTATATTGGTCGCCTATCCTTAAGCATTCTCATATTGAAAACCATCGATGATGGTGACCACGCTGGCGTGAATGGTCGCGTTAACTCCTGTCTATCAAGCAGTTGCTGCTTACAATATTCCACATTCGTTCGTGCATTCGATTGAACAATTGGGTGTAGTGATCAACAATTATCTCAGGAGTCCAAGTACTCTACAACGCTTCCTCGCTTTGGAATGCAGTTTGGAAATTCGGTGTTCAAGGCCCAACAACATTTGTTGCCTCGTCCGTGTAAGCTGAATAATCCCGGCAAGTAACTGACTAGTGATTAACATGCTGATGTTGATGCTACATGTTCTGTTTCACATACTAGTCACGGAAATATGTGTAGCTATATTTCCCGCTGTACATCGCTCATACTGAAGTTAGGATAAGTCACGTTTAATCGAGATAAAGTGCGGAAGAGCAAATGTGCCGGCCACAATTTGAATTAAAACTGGCCAATCATCTAGATTGACTTAAAAGTAGGTTAGTCCAACTGTGGTGGTACGATAGTGCTTAAATAATATTTAATTGGAAAATAAATCCACGCACAGAAACAAATGGTTTGTTGCGAAGGATAGTTGCCACCGAGATGTAAGATGACAGAGATTGTTAGTAAATTGTAAACGGCAAAATGGCGATGAGGAAAGCAAGCTGCATGGGAATATCACTTTCAGTTAACCATCTTATCTGCGCCATCTGCCGAGGCTCTCGATACCCCTTATTTGTCTACCTTCATATGATTAACTATGCAATGCTCAACCTTTTCAGTGCAAATCACACAACGGATATGGAGCGTTGCTCGTTCATTGTGTTCCTAGCCATGTCTAAGTGATCCCATTCCAAACCCCACTGTTAGATACCATCGTAACATGCCCAATTGTCCCACCACATACTCATTTGAGATATTCTCCAGGCGCTTGTTGTCATCCACCGTGTTATTACCTTCATTCTCCATTGACCCGAAGACACACTATACCCACCATTCGACGCAGTTTGCTGCAAACCAGTCCCGTATGGTTGCTGAATACATTTAAAGAGGCGAGCCAATTCCGCACAGTGTTTCGTATTGTGATCGTGTTGAACGGTAGCAATTGAGGTGATTTGCTTTCCTTCTGTGCCTTGCAAAGATCCGGTTGTTCTGGGTCTGATGTATATACACACTGCGCTTGAGTTATATTTTGTTACTTTTTACCCTAGATAACGTCTCGTCTTTGTTTCTTCCTTGGACAAAAGGAGTTGTTATGTGGCACTCGAGTTCCAATCGAATTTGTCGCTTACATACATACCTTATAGCCACATTTGCGTACGATTGAGTAATTAGATGTTGTGGAAGCTACCTCTAGCATATTTGCTAAAAGAGGTTGCACACTTTTCCGAAAGCCGATGGTAATTTAGTGAAGAGTTATGCCACCGTATGCGTACGCATTATTGGATTTGGTTTATTTCATCTTGTCGTTCCAGGTGATTGGTTGTTGCTTGATATCCCCGGTGTGGATGCGCTTGATGTGCATGTTGACAAGGTGCCTACCTGTCTATTACCCACTACCTCGTCCATACTGGGTCCAGGAGACAGTTGGTCGTTGC